AAAAAAGTCTTATCCAAAAGGGACTAAAGCCACAAGGCAACTTAAAAATAATCTCCAGACTTAAGATTTTTGAGGAACAGGAAGGAAAACATCTACCTAAACTTAGTTATTTTTGCATGCTTGGGGGAACAATGTTTCCTATGCTTCACTACCCCTTGTCATGCCAGCTTATTGGAATTAATTATTCTCAAACCCCTTGTAACTAATTAAAAGGTCAACAATTTCACCCAGGCTCTGCATATGAAGCTGAAAGGCTTCAGGGTGCAGCCTACATGAGCATGTTAAATCAGATCAAAAGCACACCTGGGAAGCAAATCTGTCCATCACCTCCACTTACCAGGTCTGATGTGTATTGCTGAGTGGTCTCCCAGGAATCAACTGGGTCTCTTTTCAAGAAAACTGGGCTGGAAGATCCATTTCAGGAGCACACCTAATGCTCTGGGTCACAAGTTAGTTTAGCACCACTTACTTGACAAAAGCCGAGACTTCATCACTTACATGAATTTAATCAGCTTCCTCCTTTCCCCCTCAAGGGAAAAAAAAAAATCCTTCCCTTCCCATTCAGTCTGGGCAAAGAATTTAAGTTGCAAACAGAACTCTGAATGATTTTCTAGTGATATTTTTATTTTAATCTAGAAAATGTTATCCTAAGAAGCATTATAGACTGTCTATGAAGTTGAGTGAATGTCCTGTAATGGACAACATTAATTTCTTGAAAAATAGTAAAGAAGTTGTCTCCAAAGTGATAGTCAGATCTGCATTTTTAGCATGGACCTGCAAGCTTCCTTTCTAGGTGAGCCACAAAAGCACCCTGTCAAGTTTCTAGCATAAACTGGGAAGCAATAGGCACAAGTTAATTTTAAGATGCATATCTGGAGTTTGATGATTTATTTAAATTTCATTATTTTTTAAAGACTAAGCCTTTCTGGGACAGTAACATTCCCTCATGAGAATTGTGGAGTTAATCTTAAGGAGCCTATGCCTCCTCTGCACCTCATTAATTTCAATTGTATTTTCCCCTAAGGACTCTTTCCTCTCTAGAAAATCTGCTTCTCAAAGACAGCTTTGCAAGTGGGGAGGATTCAGCACTTCTGCTCATTCCACTCCTCAGAATGGTTTTCCCTTCATCACTCTGACACACTGATGCTGATCCAATCTTGCTGTATCAGCCCCCACTTATTGGGCCAACCTTTCAAACCATTCATGTTCTGAAAGGGGACTCTCAGCAGCAAGCAACTTTGGCTTTTTCTAATATCCCAATCACACAACACTTCTCTAGAGGGAGACTAAAGATAACTGTGAGTTATCAGGACACAAAAAATTGTACCTTTCATAGCAACAAGAAGAGGTGCATCTCCAAACTGAACAGATCTTGAAGATCACAGTGCCAAGCTGGGTCTGGGCTGCACAGTCATCCTGTGGATCACGACAGCTGTGCTGCGCAGTCGTGCAGATGCAGCATTTCCAAAAGAGGGCTGAGACATTCCATGTTACAAGGCTACAGTGTTGTGCTGAATTGGGCTTTGGGATTACTTTTTTTCTGGTGCACATTGTAGATTACCTATCACAAAGCAGTAATTTTCTGTAATTTTGTGTCCAAGAGTTCCCACAACTCACCTCATTTCCTTCCTACTAACACTCCAGTTCTCAAGAACGCTGTTTTCAAGCCAGCACAAAGCACTGCTGAGCAACACTCAATCTTGTTATTACAAGCCAAGTATATTTAAAGCAGTCAGATGACTTTACCTGTCAAACACTGAAGATGTCTGAGGAGGACTTGACTAAAGCAGAACAGGCATGTCTCAGAATTGCTCTCCTGGAACACCTTTATTTCAAGGACTGCAGTTTCTGGATTCACACTACCTTATGAGCATGCCAGAAGATTTTGGCAGCACTGAGGTAAACAGCAGTGGCAGCATGAGTTAGGGAAAGACTTAATCACAAAGAACAAACAGCTACAAAGAACAATCTAAAAATAATCTGGCAGAGCATGGCTAGTAATTTCATGTCTTCTTGCAAGATTTTACTCTGAGGTTTTACCCCAAAGGAGGAAGGGCCAACCACAGAAGCTGTGTTGGAGCCACATGACAGGGTATCCCTCTCAGAGCTGGCAAGATGAAAGAAAACTTACAACAGAGCAAGAATCAAGAAAGCCATGCAATTTTCATATCAAGTCACAGTACTCATTGTAGCTGGAAATCTTAGCTACATGATTAAGAAGATTATTTTATTTTGCACATTTGAAAATACTGAATATCCCTGGAATATTTTATTGGTCACTTGCAAGTTAGTTCCTAGCTCTAATTTTCTGTTGCCATTAAACAGTGACCACAATAAAAAATAATACTTTCCTTACTGCATTTTCTTACTACAACTACAACTGATGTTGCCAGCCCATGTAGTACTGATGACCTGGCGACTCTTCAGGGTCATTGAGAGATCCCTCAAGGATCACAAGTTTGTTGTTTAATAAAAGCTGTTTTCCCCCTCAAAATTTACAGTGCTCAGAACAGAGACACCTGGATCATCTTGTGCTGCACAATGCTGCCAAAAGTCCAAGCAAGGGCCAGACATTTCTGGGTACAAGCCAGGCCTAGTAAGTTACCCACTGAAACTTTAATATGACAATTTTAATTTAGTTGTTCATTTCTTACCAGATAAATAAAGAAATTATTGCAATCAAGAAATTACATACTCAGTAGCCTTAACAGATTTAACACAAAATTTTCTAGATGATTCCAATAGATATTTTTCATGGGATGGTATTTGATCAGAACAGATCTGGTGTATTTCCCAAGAGCAGCGATGGGGCATGTCAAGTTGCATTTATTATGAGACTTTAGTAACTCTGCATATTGATTCCTAAATGACCCCCACAAAAAACTGCTTATATCAGAATGAGGTAGGCCTCCAAGCAGTTTTAAAGATTCACTAACCAATGTTTAAAACCATTAGTAAAGTGCAATTCTCCTCTAAATGAAGCATCACTCTAAATGATTCTGCTGAAACTCTGCAAGCCAACACTGTTCATAAACCAGCAAACAAGATGTTAAAACTGATAAGCACTATTTATATGAAGCAATATAACTTTAATTATACCTGTTAGAATAGTCTTGAGAAATATCCTCCAAGAATACAAAATATTCAGTCATTTTAATGTCCAATCCATCTTTGTTGATGTTTACAGTAGCCATAATTGCTTTTGTGGAAAAAAAGCATTAGAAAATGATGAAATTTCAACTACCTGAAGTGAGGTCAGCCAGCACAACATGAATAGGCAAGGGCTCATGACACTGTTAGCTTCTCTCTTAGGTCGTAAGTAAATTACACACTGTGATACAACAGTTCATATCTACAATACAGTGAATCAGCTGATGTAAATCTGTAGAGTCAAAACTGATAAACAATGAGCTGGACTTTCCCAGTTTGAAAGTTGGAAAGATATTTAAGACTGCAAAGTTGATGAACTTGTAGTAGTCAGACACCTTCCACAAAATAAAAGAAATTTGCTGTATGAAACATCTAATCCAGATTTGTGCTAGCACCTTCTTTGTACTTAAAATATTATATTGCTGTAACAGAAAATACACCCCACAAATATTACCTGCACCATTAATACTTAAAATTGCATTTCTACAAATGTAATTTATTTATGGATTTGATGTAGGTTGCATTTTCACTAGACTACAGCAAACTAGTTTGACAAGTCTTACAAACACAGAGGTCTTAAGTCGGTGGTTGGTGTCTAATGTGACTTAGGTGGACAAAGATATTCCACACCTAAATTTGCATATTATAAAAAGATAGTGGTCACAAAATCTGTTGCATAGCTGTAGATACTGCTCAGCTCTTAAATATTAGGGAGATCTTTGCTCCTGTGCTTGTCAGTTTTCACAAACTCAGTATTTATTTCCTTATTCTTACTTGCACAAGCTGCTTGAGAAGCACCTTATTTTCACACAAACTAGTCCGAGAAATCACTTACATGTGGAATCCACTCTATAGCTCATTACTTCAAACTTTTCTTCCTCAAGCAAAATAATTCTGATCTGTTGCAGTTAAGTTTTCCTTAGCTTGTTACTCTGAAAATGATACATTGTCAAAGATTTAGTTAAGGTTGGTAAAAACATGGCAATTTCTCTCTATTTTGAAGAGTAATTCTGGCTAAATCTAATTAGGAAGACTGTTAAAGTAGATCCTAAGTAAACCAAAATCCTTTATACACAACTCACTTCACTGAACTAGTGTAAGTTTACACATGACCTCAGCAATGAAAAACACTTTGAATTTAGTTTGGCTAATCAAAATTAAAACACTGGCTTGCCATGGATACCTCAGAAAATACAGCTCGCTAGAAACAACCTGGAACAGCCAGGACAGATGGGTGTCCTGGGAACAGGAGAGCATAAATAAAGACAGCAGTGAGAAGTTAACTGGAGAGGTTTGGGTTATTTAAATAATCACCCAATCTTCAAGGACTCTGCACTGAAATCCAATGGCAATTTGTACAGATCAAAACCCAGCAGAGCAGTTTGTAATGTAATCTCCACCATTATTTCCATTTCTACATAAATAGGTGCAATTTAATATTATTAAGGTGTCAAGCTGAGTTTTCTGAACTCTGATTCGGAGTCCTTTCTTTAGAGGAAGGTTTCTAGTAATATTAAAGTTTGTCACTGAACTATGTGAAGGAAAGCACTGAGTTGGAGCAGCACAAAGCCCAGCACTGCTGAGGGACATCAGAATTCAGCACAACTCATCCTGAGCCACACACAGCATCCTCCAGAGGATACAACACTAACTCTCAACAACAGTTAGCAACAGAATCCAAAGAACTACTCAGACTAATTTTTTCCCCATGTTGCATCAAAATTAAGAATTTACGACATTCTCCTATTTGCATAGTGTTGAGAAGAATTTTAATTTTCTGAGGTTTTTATATCACTGAGAACTTGTTTTTGATACAAGCTACCTTATTATATAGGGAAAAAAATATCAACATTTAGTGTTAAAACACAACAAATTGGGAATGTTTGCAATCTGTGAATGAGACATTTAGTGTTACTAATACAAACTTATTCCTGGAGAAAACCCCCCCAACAATTAGTGTAGTCTTCAAAATAGTTAACACGGGCTCTAGAGGGAACTAGTTTCAATTAATTTCTGTAATAAGTGGACTTCTTTAAGACCTGAACTTGCTGTTAAGATGATGCTATTTGGATGCTTGTCAAAATGTAACAATTTTTAAGTTGAATTTATCACTCAGGAGTCCTCATTCATCCACAAAACCATTCGTACCACCAAAGACTGGATCACTAAACCTGGCTATATGGCATCTTTCTAAACCTGAAGCAAGCAGAAAATTTGTATGAATTGCAGACTTTAGCACCCAACAATTAACCCTGTTGTATTTCCCTTGTTTATAAAAAATGGATCAGAACTTTTTAAAAATCTTCACTTGACAGTCTACTTTACCTATAGGCAAGTTAAATCATTAGAATGACTTGCACAAAACAAGACTTATTTCACTGAGATAACTTTAAAAATACTTACTGCTTTTTAACGTGTAGAACAGCTAAAGTGACCAAAACACTGAATGACCATGCTTTAGTTTAGAGGACTAAAATATTCTTCAGCCAAATGTTACGCAGAGAAATTATTTTACTGAGTGGTCTCTCTTAGCTTTGCTCTTTGAGACTGAAGACTTGCAAGCATGGTTGCAATCCATGAACTGTAAACACAGATCAGTTAACCTTAATAAGAATGGAAACGTCTTGAAATCATTTAAGCATGCTGAAGTAAGAGAAGAGAGGGTAAGAACATTAAGCAGGAGTCATCAATGACTAATACTAAGACAAATTAAGTCGTTCAGGTGCTGCCCCCTCCCTTTTGTACAACGTTTGACAGTGAAATGCAACTCACCTATTTTGCTGCCTTCATAATTTTGCCCCTGCAGACTAAAAATGCATTCCCAGTAAGTTCTCAAAATGAAAAGCAAATCCTTTAAATGAAAATTTAAGTTTATTTTGAAATTTTTAAGTAATTTCTATCAATTTAGACACAGTTTGACATTATCAGATCATTTACAGTGATTCATGGATAAAAGATTTGGCTTTTACATTCAAATGTTAAATACTTCAAAATAGCTTTGTCTTGTTGCTTCCAAACCAGAAACACTAAAGAGCATTTTATATTGCCTTTCAACCATCTTTGTTAATTAACAGACTTTTGATATCTGCTGTAGTTGAAGGGGAACGTGCAAAACACCAAAGGAATTATTTTTTGAATGAAGTGAGTACCTTAATTACAGTTCCAGATTTAAGACTCATTCACTGTGGCATCAAAAGGCAGTGCTAAGAAGAAAGACATGATTTATTTTTAAAAAATATATTTTCCTTAGGTAGACTGCAGAACCTGACTGAGTTAAAAGCCTCTTTATGAAGACAAACAGGTCTTGCTATCCCTTGTTAACATCATTCAGTCTTACAGTTTAGCAAGTTTTGTCCAGTTTTCATAATTATTTTGGAAATTATTATAAAATTTCATCTCTGTTCCTAACACAATCCTTCTATTAGTGTTTAACAACAAAATTCATTTAATCTATCAGACTTAATTGTGATGATTTTATTGCTTACTATAGTTTTTCTTACTCTCTAGTGCTAATTTGAAATTGGATAAACAAAAAACATTTGCAGGGAAGAAATTTTACCAATTTTCCCATTCTGGCAAGGAGGGTGTCCCTCAAGCACGTGCAACACAATTAACTGTTCCAAAGGGAATTCCAGCCTGCTGCTCTCCAAGGACAGCCTCCCTACCAAACATCTGAGAAGTTCAAAATTCCTCCAGTTTGTAAAAACAGGAGCTCCAAAGCCCTGGAAAAAAAAGCTTATACATTTTAGACCTATACATTCTTGAGACTGTATACTGGCAAAACAATATACTGGCAAAGGGGAATCTCACAGGAAGGTACTCAAAGAGCTCTGATTCCTTTGCACATACTCAGCATAACAGGCTGCTGCAGCTGCCTTCAGTCAGTAAGCAGCACCATGGAAGATCTGGGACAGCAGCAGCTTTCTGCTAGAATGAAGCCTTTGTACTATTAAAATTTGGGGCGGGGGGGAAGCACAGATTTTGTTTTGTGAGAAGAAAATGCTTCTCAAATTTGACATAAGAATTTTTGTCCCCACCTTTATTTTCACCATCTGATGGATCAGCAGCAGCAGTGTGTCAGGAGTGCTCTTATTGCCTGATTCCAGACATCTGCTGCATTTTGAGAAGCACAGGCACATTCCCTGCTCAAGTACACACAGCAGCAGGTGTGAAAGGTCTGTTAGATTACAATTTAGAAGCCATATAAGCAACACAAATGCAATCCTAATCTTCCCTGCTGACAAAGTCTATTAACCTACTTAATTCACAGGAATGGTGATATGTAGCTCAATTAAACAAGTGTATTCATAAGCCTTTACAGTACACAGAAAACTCAGTTCTGTCCCCTGATGCTGTTTTCAAGTTGGTTTTATTCACTCTTTTGGATGACTGTAAGTGTTTCCACTATGGAAAAGAAAGTTAGCACAGTACATTTTCATGACTGGGGAATGAATTTTTCTGAAGACACCTTCCAAAGGGCAAAAGCCTAGAAAAAACAATGTGAATGTTGAATGCAGTTCCATATAAAGTCCCTTGTAAAAATTAAAAAAAAAAAAAAAAAAAAAAAAAAAAAAAAAAAAAAAAAAAAAAAAAAAAAAAAAAAAAAAAAAAAAAAAAAAAAGGAAAAACTGCAAGGCCCAGGATGATTTTATTGCTTTTCTTCAGTTTTTTCCTTGGTCTCTTTCTTCTCAGATTCTTTGCTCTCTTCCTTTACAGAAAGCTCTTCTAGTTTTTCAGCAACTTTATCAGCACTATCATTTTTGTCTGTGCCTGCTAAAAAATTGGTTAGGAAAGGTATTACATACAAGCAGTAATGCATTTTCTTGTTAGAAAGAGTAAAGAAGTAGAAGGTGAAGGGGGTGGGGAAAGACAACTGGTATTGGACAAAAAAATATTCTTCACTGACCACTGGAGTGACTCATTCAATTTCTTTTCCTTTGGCAATTACTTCAGATGTCATATACATTAATCACTACACAAGGGCTTAATCATAGGGACTGAGGAATGTGTAACATCTGTCCAGCTGTGCTGCTACCAATAAAGTATCCAGACAAGCCCTTAGTTTCTTGGCATCTTACCAAAAAAAAACAAAAAACAAACAAAACAACCCACCAAAAAAAAAAAAACCAAACAACAAAAACCACCAAAGTCAAGTTCCCCAGTTTGCAACTGGAGCATAAGAACTCCTATGACTGGAAAACTCCAATCTAAATATCCTGAAGAATGCTGAACTGCAGGCAAGTGGTAGTCTGTACTTCAGAAAGGCAGAAATGTTTATTTACATGATGACATACTTCATTACAAAGGCAATTCTAAAGAAAGGTGCAATAATCTGTTAGACTTGTGAACAATCTCACACACTAACTATAAAAACCAGTAAATATTATACTTGCATGATTATACATTTGCAAAATTTGGGAAAAGGACCTGGAAGGAAGAAAAGAGCACTGTGGTTGCAGTGTTCACAGTTCATTTGTTTACTATAAGCCATAAATATTTCCTTGTCAGCCTCTCCAAAGCAGCCATGTCCCAACAGCAACTGTAACAGCCTTCCACAGGAAAGAAGGCCATCGTCACTCCTGTGAGCTCTTACTCTCGCAGACAGAAAAGCACCTGAACTGACGGCTGCAGTTCAGCACAGAGTGAGTCTGCTGGAACACGACACTCCAGGGTACTGTAACCACTCACACAGCTCAGAAATGTGGCATCAAGCACACTGAGACTACCTTACCTTTCTTTGCTGTCTTGCCTACTTCATTCCTGCATTCTTCAAATTTTGCCTTGAATTTCTGTGCATCTGTTCCAGTGAAGATAAAATATTTTTTCATTACTTTTACCGCCTCAGAACACTGAATATTTCTAATCTTGAAGAAAGATAACCTAGGGGAAGCTTTGTGTAAACAAAATTTGTAGGGACTTATGAAGTAATCTAGTAAATCATACAAAATGCAAAATTCTTCAGTCACATCTTCGTTCAAAAGTAATTCATCTTCTTCAGCAAGTTTACTAAAGCAGCTTATTTTGCAAAATATTCAAAATGTAATGCCAGCAGGAGCTGTTTGGAGTTACTGCAACTCCCAGCTGTCTGTAGCCTAAAGGAATAGGAATATGATGTCAGAGACTGCTAATACAACAATCTGTATGCAAAAGACTGAAGATTAGCTTTGAACTGCTATCCTTGCCAACTATGTTACACCTTAAGAGTCTTCCACAATCTAACTATAACTGGGAGTTCTTACCATCAGCAAAGGATGATAATGCCTGTTTCACTAGTACAGCATTCAGACTCTCTACCCAAGGGTTATTCCTCGCTGCAAGAGCCAACAGTGCATAATCCTCATTACATTCAACAGCCATTCCAAGCAGCTGATCAAATTGTAATAATGCCTCTACACAAGTAATACAAGCAATAAGGGACTGAGCAAGGAGCTTCCTGACACCAGAATGACCAAGGCGGTACTACCCTGGCATCCCAGGCTGGTCTGGCTGACCACAGGAGGTCACTGTTGCCCCACAGGAATTCTGAAAGCACTTGGTAAGTAGTCCAGGAAGTGTTTGTATCGATTCCTTTTTGAGCATCTCAAACAGAAGAGACACCTGAAGGACAAACTTAGGTCTGTTCACCTGTCAGCTGCTTAGTCAGTACCACAAAGGGCAAAGAGGAAGAAAGGACTACTCCCTCAAGACAATAAGCTGACATTCAACAAGCAACATTCAATAAGTTAAACAGCCTCTATCAGAAAGAGGGACTTTTCAGAGATTAGCAAATAGTTACCCCTTCATTTCCTACTTGATCATGAAGCAAGCACTAAGCAGGAGGACCAGAAAGGTTTATTTGGCTAAACAAAATTATATCCGAGACTTAAGGCAAAGGAAAAAGGCAAGATATCCTTTCCTGATAGAGTCAAATCCATCAAATTTTAAAATAGTCAACCACTTCATGATTCATCTAGTATATAAGGAGAAAAGGAGACTACCACACTAAACTTGTGTGGCAAATTGTAAAGCAAGGAATGCAACACTTTTTCATTTTGCTCCTTTAAAAATAAACCCCAAACCAACAGCAAAACAAAACAACATAAACCCCCTCTGCCTCCAAACACTACTTTGATTCAATCCTAGCTGATCCACTATTAGAGTTACTTTTCTGGTACTCAGTGTAGTCACTTCAGAAAAACCCACCAACCAACATGATGGGTCTGACTCGCACTTTTCACTGAGGGTTCTGCTTAATCAAAACAAAGAAGATACTACATACACCATTAAAAAAAAGTAAAACCAACCGAGATGTAGAAATATCAGGTCAGGATTTCCTTATTTCTAATGCAAAACTCTAATCTTAACTACAACTGAGCACCTGAATTACATTAAAGTAAGCTGTATGTGAGTCTTTAACTGCCTATAGTTTTATTCTAATTGGCATAGCACTTACATTAAATAGCTTAGGTTAAGAAAGCGCCTAGGGCAGAAACTGTACAAATATTACTGCAGACCTTCTCTCAGATAAAGAATTAATTAGTTAACACTACCACACAGGGGTGAGATGCAGCACATCTCCAGCAATGGTTGAGAGCAGCATTTAGACAAGCAGAGTAACATAGCAGTTTACAATCAGTTTAAGTTCAGTGCCAGTCCACTCACTCTCTGCGTTTAGAAATCGGATTGCCAGAAGTTCGGGCTTGGGGCATTCATCTGCAAAGTCAGCATGTGTGTTCCAGACCCACGCCCTGTCGCTCCCAGCGTTAGGCTTCAGCTCCATTAAGGGTGTGACTGAAAGGAAACCATTAAAAGATGTACAGAGCCCAATAGCAAATGCTTTCCACACCAGACTCCATAACCTCAGTGAAAACGGGCTGTGATACTAAGAGATGCTAAGAGTCACTGAGCACAGCTCTGAAGTACAAATGATTTAGAAGGAAAAGGCATCCAGACAAACAACACTCATTCTTCTTCTGCACACCAAAACTACTACCAAAATTAATTTTAAAAAGCATTTTTTCCTTCAATTAGTCATCAGGTTAATTACCTGTCCTATCAGTTTAAAGCTGTACTACAAGATATTACAGAATTCTGTGGTGCTGCAAAGTATACAGTGTCTTTTCAATCTATTCACTCCCAGTAAATGGGTCCTGTCCCTCCAAGACACACAATTACCTCACCTGACTGACTGGAGAAGTTGAAATGTTACTTCCCACAGTATCTTAAGAGTTTTTATATTACAGACATGCAAAGTGTAAGCAAGGCTTTTCTTCTCCTTGGGCCTTGTCTAGTTCAGGAGAAATCTGGAGAGTCTACTCCCTTCCCTGTATTTTTAACATCTAGAGAAGAAAATACATTTTGCTCCATTTAGCACTCTGTAAAAATCAAGAGAATTCTTTTGTCTGACTGTGAGTCAGCATAAATTCAATAAACAAATCTATATGGAAAGCAGCTTTTCCAGGAAAAAAGCCTAAACAACTTTTAACATGAATACTATAAATTCATCAGTTCTGTTCTCCTATGTGCAACGTTTATTTCCCTAAACAAAAGGTTTATTCCTACTGGTTGGTGGAGTTATTGAGGTTTGCATTAAGCTACTTCTTATTTCAAATTATCTAAATGTAGTTTAATGTCACAGAACTTTACAGACTTCTCATATAAAAATCCTAGCACCACCAAAGCAAGCCAAGTGTCAGCAAACTGGTCTACTTGTTGCAAGGTGTTCTGACTTTCAAGTCTGTCTTGCTCTTTCGTGTTTTTTTAATTCAAAGAGGATTCTTTTTGGAATGAGTCAGCCCAATAAAACACATCCATTTCAGTTTATTTCACAAGCAGAGATAGGCAGACTCATATTTACTTAGCACCTCAGTATCTGTTTTCTGATGGTTAAGGATTGGTTTTAGAAATTCAGACATTTAGCTCAAAGTAGTAAATTATTACATCATGGTTTTTCTCACTCTTTTACAAAAGTGAGCCAGCATACATTAAATTCTTATTTCAAGCACTAATTAAGGCCTACATTCTACACTTTATTAATCATTAAAATAAAAAACACACTGGCAACAACCACATAATATCTGTCTATCACAGCTAAATTTTAAAGTGACTTTTGTCAGTCTTACAGCACTATCATACTCTTAAAGAAAAAACCTCCAGCTTCCTTCCATTAATACAAATAACCCCTCATGGTTTTTGATATCCAAAGCCTTGTATGAAGAGCAAGAAACAACCATACTTAAATTCTACAAGCTTATTTTTTAAATCAAGAATAAGTATAGAAATGTATAACATACTGTAATGGTTTGCACAGATTTTAAGGGTTTTATCCCTCCTCATGAGGAGGCGAATTGTTCCCTTCTCCTTGTGTTTCAGGAGTTTCACATCACCAGTTCCTCGTTCTTTCCACTCTGGAAGGTCATTCTCAGATGCAAACCGGAAAAGCTTTGCTCGCCTTGGAGAACAGAAAATTTAATTAGCATGCATACAATAAAATACCATACCTGACCAAGCAGCACAGTTCTTTTTAAAAGCCACACACAAGAAGGAAACAATTCACTTAATAAGATCCCCTGTTCTGCTTCAAAATACACTTTCAGAAACTGATATGATAATTCCTAATATTTTATTAGATTTTAATTTATGTAATAACTGTACTAAAATTCAACAGGTTCTGGACACTCTTAGGGGATGACAAACATATTTTGTGTAGGCAAACCTTTAAATTCAGGTAGCTAATTAACAGGTTTTGCTACAGCCAGAGTTCACCACACTACCTTGTCAGAAGCTGACCATAACTTTAATTTCTCCTTGTACAGATTCTGATAATAACTAATCTCTCTTCCAGAGGAGAAATACTGTTCTGTGATTAAGCAAAAGCAGAATTTTTAAACCTATTTCAATCCAGCACATCAGGGATCAAAATCAAAATGCTTCTTAAGCCTTTAGACTACATTTTTCTTCAGACAGATCAAGCCATCCTAATCTGACAATAAACATAATCTAAGGATAAACTATGCTGAAGACAACTGACAGGAACTGCCACAAATGCCCCAACACTGTACTGTGGCTGTTGCTTTTATTATTTCAGTACCTTGTACATCACACTTTACCCAGGGATGCATGGCAGCAACACCACATACATCTTATTTCCTTCCTCCCAAGATACTTGTTTCACATTCTGTGACCATAATTTCAATAATTATTACCTAAGTTGTTGTTGTCTTCTTTTAAGCAAACAATGCTAAAGCCAGATTCACACGATCAGCTCCCTTCTGTGGTTCCAGACTTCATTTTCTTGGGGCAACATCAATCACCCCCCACTCAATCTCTGCCATCACAGTGCAGACCCACCAAGTCAGCCTTCATACAGAGACTGCTGCAAGTTATGCAGCTTTTTGTAAACACTGTCAAGTTTAAGCCTAGCAAACATTCAGATAATAGTGAAAAGTATTCTACTCACATCTTAAAGAGTTCTTCCTCATCCTCTTCCAGAGTTTTTATTTCTTGCTCTGGAAGGGAAACTATGGGCTCAAACTGAGGATCATGGTTAGAGTCATCTGCATTTTCAGTAGAAGTATCATGCTCCTCATGTGCTTCCTGAGGAGGAAAAAAGAAAACACAAACTTGCTATGTATCCCAAACCTGAAGTACTCCCATCTGCATTTAAAACATGTATGACTTTTCAGCAACTAGCTCTTATTAACTGTAATACCCTGTAAAAGTAAAGAAATATGATTATACCTGAAAACAAATTACTGCCAAATCAACTTTCAGGCACACTAAGAAACAAAAAGGTGGTCATGCAGTGCTAGGTGTTTTAATCCTACCACTCATGAATTGTGCAGAGACTTGGCCTTGGAGTAATAGCTCTGGGTTATAGAAAAATAATTTAATCGACAGTTTTTCCTATGTAATGTGTTTTATGCTGCTAAAACCCTACTATTTCTTAGTGCCTAATGACCATTGTTAATGGCAAAATTAAAGGAAAGCCACTTAACCCAGCTTAAGGGACATATTGCATCCCAAGTTCATCATTCTGTCTTATGCATTTGAATCACCTACAGTCAACATAATCAAAGACATTTTGAGACACAGCTGTAATACTCATAAAATAATTTAGGTTTCTTGGTTTAAGACTCCTCAAGGAACTTTAGGTTACAGGTAAATGGCCAAAATAATACTTCCTATTAAAGTTGTTTAGCAATCTGTCAGAGGACTCATCAAGCTTAAGAATGGTTTTTACTACCATGACTAGTAGGTAAATGATAAACATCTCTAGTACTTCACACATACAGACTGCTAAGAAGCACTCAGCACACAAGCCTTGGAGGGAGATGCATATGCAAGTTTAACAAAGCCACAGAACAGCTATCTCAGGTCTAGGGAACTGATTTGGGTTTGGGTTTTTTTTTTTTTTGTTGCTGCTTGAGTAACAGAAAGAGCAAACAGACTACACGTATAAGACATTTAAATAATATTTTTACGATACAAATGGAAGAGTCCACTCGTACGGGCTCTATTCACTATATCCTTTATAGAGTAGGTACACACCACGTGTGCATAAAACAACAGAAATAAAGCAGTCTATTTTTACTAAATACTAGAGAAAAAAAGAGGGGGAGGGCAAGGGAAAATTAGGTAAAAGAAATGGTGTTAATAAAATCTAGTTGTATCATCAACGTCACAAAAGCTATCGCAAATTCTCTATCCACAGTGCTCCAGCATGGGGAAAAAAATCGAGAAAGGAATTGCGTCACATCTGTTTCCTAAAAAAAGGAAATGTTAGCCAAACTTTTATACATTGTATCCATGTGTGCAAGCAGCACATCCCGCAGGATAATTCATCGTGCGTTCTGCGCCGGAGCAAATAATTGCACAGAGTGAGAAAGGCACAATGCAGAGCGGGCCCCGCAGAACGCGGCTCCCGTTATCGCGACGCGATCCCGCCCGGCCGCGACACAAGCACGTGAGCAACCGGTGCGGCACGAGGGGCAGCGGCCCGCGGGAGGAGAAGAAAGGAGGGAAACGTGGAGAAGCACTACCCGAGAGATCCCGGCTCGCCCGGGCTCCCTCACGCCGGGGAACGGCCAGAGCGGCCGCACGTGCCCGGAGCGGTCGCCAACCCCCGGCCCGGCGGGCGCGGCCGCTCCAGCCCCGGCAAGGCCCAGCGCCCGTCCCCCCCGGGCCCTGCCGGACCTCGCCCCCCCGCCCGGCCCCACCTGTTTCCGTTACTCTCCCATCCCGGCCCGCGGTGCCGCCCCCTCCCCGCGCTGCTCCCGGCCCGCGGCCGCCCCTCACCGCCGTGTCCGCCATGGGCCCGCTCGCCGCGCTCCGCTCGCCGCTTCCTGCCGCGCGCCCCGCCCGCCTTTACCTCATTCCCGCAGCCCGCGCCGCGCCGCCGCAAGGCTCCATGGGAAACGCCCGCTCCCCCTCGGCCCGCGCCCCGCCCCGGCGCGGGCAGAGCCCCGCCCGCCCCGGCCCCGTCACGCCGCTCCCCCATGGCTCCTCGGAACCGGCCCCGATACCGGCCCTGCCGCCGACCCGCGGTACCGACCGCGTCCCGAGAAGCGTTTTCCTTGTCCCGTTTCCCAGCGCCTTTCCCATCACCCCCCGCGCCATGGCGGCCACAGCCCGCGTCCCGGCCCAAGATGGCGCCCGCGGGAGGGAAGGGGTGATGCGCGAGCTGCTGTATTTAATGTGCTTAAGGGCCGCGGGTGCTCTCGGAGCCGCAGCGCTGAGGGGCAGCGCTTAAAAAACAACCAGATCGCTCCCGTGCCGTCATTCTCATCGCAGCGGCCCGCCCGTGAGGCGACAGCCCCGCCCCGGGAGGGCGCGGGGTGCCTGAGGGGGCGGCCGGAGCATGGCGGAGGAAGGCGAGCGCCGCGACCCCGACCGCGACCGCGACACGGCTCCTGTGGCGGAGGCTGGAGATGGGGCTGAGCCGGACAGCCAGGCCGGGGAACACCCCGCGGAGAGCCCCGACGTATACAGATACATTAAGGGAGACTTGTTCACCTCCGAGATTTACAAAGTAGAGATACAGAACCTGCCCAAATACATTGGGTTTAACGATGTGAAAAAGTTCCTTGCCAAGTACGGGCTCAATCCTCACAAGATAAAACTCTTCGGGAAGCAGACGTTCGCCTTCGTGACGTTCAAGAGCGAGGAGGAGCGGGACAAGGCCGTGCGGGTGCTGCACGGAGCGCTCTGGAAGAGCCGCCACCTCAGCGTGCGCCTGGCCAAGCCCAAGGCCGACCCCATCGCCAAGAAGAGGAAGCAAGAGGAGGATTCGGAGCAGGGAGAGGCGAAGCGTCCGGCTCCCTGCGGAGAGGAGCCTCTGAGCAAGCGGATCGCGGATGTGGTGACCCCGCTGTGGAACGTGCCCTACGAGGCGCAGCTGGCCCAGAAGAAGCAGGAGTGCGAGCAAGTGCTGCAGAAGCTGACAAAGTAATTGCTGTTTGTAACGTAATGTGTACAGCACTTGGCCTTGTGATGGGATATAGCTAAATTCACACCAATTGATACCTCTAAACTGAAGTGAGTTAGAGGTAGGTTAAAACTCGGATCCCCTGTCAAAGTAATTACAAGATAATCTGCGATGCTACAGCTTAAAAGCTGTTCCATCTGACAAAACTGCTATTGATGTTCTTGGTCACCTTCAAAAGATTGCTTAGTGAAGGGAAATTGGGTTTTGAAGCCTCTTGTTCTATAAGCAGAAGGATGTTTGTGCCTGTAAAAAAATGGCATTGTCATATGGTGTAAGAATCAGTCTGTAGAGATGACAGATTCACTACTAGGATTTTCCCTTTTAAAATCCCCTCAAAATTTTATGCCTGGTCTTTGAAGATCAAAGTATCACATTTGTCTCTTGCTGTGAAGAAAACTGGTATTAATTATCATGCATAGGTACATTGATAAATCCAGTACATAACCATAATATAACCAGTACATTTAACCCTGTCTTGTCCAGCTCTTGACCTCAATTTATCTAAATGTGTGCTTTACATTTTTTGTTTCTGATTTGGACAGGGAAATAGGAAATAACAACAGAGCTTTATTACCCTGGTTGTTCCTGCAGAAGCAGAAGTTTAATAAATTATGTTGCCCAGTGGAGGGAGTGAAAGCATCACCCTTGCAGGTAATGTAATCTCAGGTAAAGTGCAGGACAGGGTAAATGAGCTGAGGGTTTTGCTCATTATTTGATCTTGAGAAGACAGTGGACAAACTGAGTATTTGACTTTGTCTTATAACAAATGATGAATTTTAGATGTTGTCTTTCATGTAAATACTGTGTGGAAATATTAACAGGAAACAGAAAAACTGGGTATTACAACTTTAAAATGAATATGCTGTCTTTGCAAGCCTGTGTTGTAAGTTAATATGTTCCTCAACAGAGGCAATATGTTGCTTTTTAATTAACAAGATTTACTAATATCTTTTCATTATTCTGATGTGTGTTAGTTCACACACATCAGAATCCATCAGTATTGAGCTAAATGTCCTTTTAAATGCATTTAACCACGTGGGATTTTTTTCAGGAGAAACTTGGCATGTGCAAATAAATGCTGTGTAAATATCTTACATAACTTTATTTTAAATCTAGACTGAATATCGCAACAAATGTGAGTTCTTGATTGGGATTGGTGTAAATCAAGAAGACAAAACTGTGGGTTGTCGTCTTGGCAAATATAAGGGTGGTACATGTGCTGTAGTGGAGCCATTTGATACTATTCACATTCCTGCTATTGCCAAAAAAGTAGTAAAAGCTTTTCAAGACTACATAAGGTGAGCATAAGTAAAATGAGTTATCCATAAAGATTTTGGTATCTTAGTCAAAAATATTTAAAAGTTTAATTAGTGTTTATTCTGAGCTTTGAGATCTAAGATACACTGGTCTCACATTTTAGTGATTCTTTGTTTCTGCCTTCTGCCTGCATCATGGGGAGTTTTGCTGAGGATGTGCTCCTGCTCAGCTGCTCAGAGATGGGGTCAGGTACCAGCTGAACACAGCTTCAGTGCAAGCAAAGGGATGTGTAAGTCTGCAGTAAAAAGTGTGTATTACTCAGGAGCTGCTTCCACTAACTAAAAGTAAAGAAGCACTCAGAAAAACACTTCTGAAAGGAGGAATTAATTAACCAAGGTCCATTGTTTTCTTGGATGCGAAGAATCATCCTACAGAAAGGAATAAACCAAAAGTTGCACATTTAAGCAAGAGTACTTTTTTAGAAAAGAGGATACATTCTTTAAAAAGCAGTTAAATCCACAAAAATAGAAATCTCAGAAGAATCATGAAGATGGAAGATTTGAACTTGGTGTGAAGCAGAGAAGCTAATGAAAGCATTGTAAAAACTGATGTCATTCTCTGAACGTAGTGAGAAGCTACCTCTTGCCTCTGTAATTTTGCATGGGTTAAAATGGGCAAGAGGATTGTGTGGAGGGACAGGTTATTTTGCTTTAGGGGTTACTATCCATCAGTCTTTCTTAGTTGGAAGTCATTCTTTGTTTGACAAATCAATGTACCCTCTTCTTGTACTCAGCATTTTTTCCATCACTTCTTTTGATTCAATAAACTGTTTAATGTTACACAAAACAAGAAATCCCTATATAAGTAACCGAGCTTCTGGAAATTGCAGGTCAACTCCTTACTCGGTGTACAGCCCCGAAACCTATGAGGGGCACTGGAAACAGCTCACGGTCCGCACCAGCCGCAGTGGCCACATCATGGCAATTGCTTATTTCAATCCTCAGGTATTTCACTTTATATGTAATGGACAGCCCAGGCTCAGCTTTAGAACTACTTAAATTTCATTTTATGACTTGTGCATGCAAAACAGAAATAGAACAATTATTTGTTGTGGTTTACCTTGCTTCACTGCTCTAATTCTATTTAGATTAATCTGATACATGGAAATGAAGAAGTAATATTATTATGTAAAGCATACACTAAATCATATCTTGAAGTCACTAAACTATTATTTTCCCTTCTTTCACATGAAAACTTTAGAAATTGAGTAAAGAAGAGCTAGCTGAATTGAAAATCTCTCTGGCAAAATACTTCACAGAAGGGATGGGAAAGAGCAGCGGTGTTACTTCCCTGTACTTTGTGGAGGAAGGACAGAGGTAAGGGAGTTAACTTTATTTTGGGGGATTTTGGTGGTGGCTGGATTTTTGGTGTTTGCAAATTTCATAGCATTGTTTTGTCTGCTTCATAGAAATAGCAGCAGTTGTTACTAATTTGTTGAAGTTATTCACCTTTGCCACAAGAAACTCCTGAAATAAAGGCAGCAAGAGTTTCAGTGGGTGAACGCACTGGACATTGCTGTTTGTCAAGCTATAGAAGGATATACTGCATGGATGAATGTTTGTTATTATCAAGTAACTCCTGCCTTTCTTCCCTATTGATGTGAATTTTTCAATCTCCCCATCCTCCATGGATGGCTCACACCATCTTCATCCAGAGATGGTGGAGGTCCTTGCCCACTGTGAGACATTAATGGCCAAGGAGAGTCTCCAAGAGCAGATGATAAATGTCACTCCTCAGGATGTAGCACTACAGTTTTTGGGATTATTACAGCTTTGGTAAAGATTGTAGCAAACGTGTTTGTCTTCTTTTTGTGGTTTTGATTCCCCCTCTGTTTTGTCTCCTCATTCCTCCCCTATCCCCAGGAAATCTCCCAATCTGGAAGACTTGCCTTTGGAGCATGTGGCTGGTGATAAGTACATATATGAAGAACTCCTTGGCCTAAAATTTAGAATTTCTCCTCACGCATTTTTTCAGGTAAGGATGATGTGAAGCTGCTCATTTAACTGGAGATGCATGAATGTTCTTGAGCTTGACTAATGCTGTGGAACAAGACGTTACATACCTAGAAATTTAACTTTTTTTATATTTGGTATGATTAAATAGCAATAAGTGTTATGTTTGGCTGTAAAAGCAGTGAATGACTGTAAGCTTGCTTGATGGGAGCACATTGAAGACAACTTTTTCTATTTACTAGACAATTATAATTTTCCTCCTGTTTCATGGCAGCCTTTTGTAACACTGAACATGCAATAGTACAGTTCAGGACTATTGTATTACTAATCTTTGTTTGCTTTTCCAAAACTTATTTCTGCCCTTCCAATACTTTAAAATGAATTTTTAGTATATAATGATTTGTTTATTAGAAACAAGAAAACGTGCTTGACTAAGACTCATTAAAACATATTTACTGTTTATGAAGTAGATCTGTTGGAAACTTAATTTCCCAGGTGAACACGCAAGCTGCAGAAGTGCTGTACACTGCCATTGGGGAGTGGGCACAACTGAGCCAAGAGAGCACCGTGCTGGACATCTGTTGTGGGACAGGAACCATTGGGATTTCTTTAGCAAAGGTTGGCAATTTC